CTCTCTCTCTCTCTCTCTCTCCCTCTCTCTCTAACTCTCTCTCTCTCTCTCTCTCTAACTCTATTACTGCTCTTTACTTGAATTGCCAAGGTTCGACACTACAGAGAGAGAGAGAGAGAGAGAGAGAGAGAGTTACAAACTCAATTATCTACCTAATCTTAAAATGTTTTCTATTTCCTTGTAGTTTATTTAAATTCGCTCACCTTCCTTTTTATGTTACAGTTATTTTTTGTAATCTGTTTATATTTAATTTTATTATACATTTATGATTAATGTATTGTAATTTACATGAAGGTAGCAAAGGAACTATCACTAAGCGAAGTGCATATAATTGGCCATTCATTGGGAGCACATGTTGCGGGTTTTACGAGCAAAGCTTTTAATGGACAAATTGACCGCATAACTGGCCTCGACCCAGCTGGTATGTCATTAAAATAATATTAATTAATTTGTGTTTTAGGATGATGCACACAATGTGCAAAATAAAACTTTTTAAAATTAATAACTTGATTCACACTAGGTCCATTATTTAATGATGTTCCCGATGAAGACAGACTAAATCCGACAAATGTGGGTAACATTACATGTAAGCTAGTTGATTATTAAAAACAAACTTTGAATTTAAACAGGCTGACTTTGTGGACGTTATACACACGGATAGCATAGAATTGATTAAAAAAAAATACAACTGGCATTAGTTATGGCATAATAAAAACGTTGGGCATTTGGATTTTTGGCCGAACGATGGTTATGGCCAACCTGATTGTTTGACCCATGTATGCAGTCACGGGCTGGCCGTTGAATTGTACATGGCCAGCATTGACCCTGACAACACTAAAGCTAAGGCCCGTGCGTGTGAGAACTATTCGAGATACAAAGAAGGTACTTGTAATGTTAAATGTGTTGCTGAGGCCAAATTTGCTATTATGGGTGAAGATGCGCAACTGTCCAAACAATACAAGGGCAAAACTTTAGGATTAAAATACTATTTGACTACTACCCGATCGCATCCTTATTTTTAAGAATCAATTTAAAATGATTTTTTGCTTATAATTATTAGTAAATAAATTGTTAATTAAATAATATTTTAAACAATAAAATTTATTAAAATTGTAGCATTATATTTTTTAAACACTTTGTCTCATATCTGGCCGGTGGAAGTAATGTTTATGCCATGGATGATAATGTGGCACATGCTATAATGGGTGAACAAGCTATACTATCTAAATTTTTTGCAAATAGCACCACTATTCACCACCATATCGTGCCCTTATTTTTGTGGTTAATAACATTCAAATATAATAATTGTACTTTTTAGATATATTGCATTTTTAAGATTTACATGAATTTAATTAAAATGTAATTAATATTGATTCTGTTTAGTAAACATGATGTCTGTAAGTGCATGTAGCAGAGATTTATACTGTATATTAACTTAATTGGGAATATTTTGAGCGAAATTTCTGGTTTAGTCATTATCTTTGTTTGTTATGATCCAGTAGATGCAGGCATAAAGCATGAGTAAGCGTGGTTGGATATGTACAAAACTTGCATAATACAAGTGATTAATTTTTTGTATTATTCATTGTATAATACAAACATTTACAGCACCACCTATTTATCAAATATCAAAGATTTTAATTTTTGCGTTTTATGGCTAAATATGTCTAAAGCTCGATATTTTAATTAATGATATTTTGTGTTTAGATTATTATTTTAGAAAACTTTTTTGTACTAATATAATCAGCATTTATTGACAATAAATTATTGTAGTATCTAAAAATATAATTCATTGTATTTCAATCTAATTTTATTTTACCCTCCCATAGGTTAACATGCAAAAAATAGGTCATTTTTATTCATTTATTGCATAAAATCCCACAATGTTATCATGATGGTTTTAAGTTTGTGAAACACCGTGACACCTCCTTTCTCCACCCTTAACCCTCACCACTCCCTCTAATATTCACAATAGCAAATAAGTAGGGGTGTCGGAATTGGCCCAGTTTACAAAAAAAGTCAGGTAACTGAGAAAATATTTATGCTATAAAATTTTCCCGGTTATGGCTCTAGATATGTATGAAGTCACACTAGTGTAACTTCACCGGTTCCCGAGTAATCGCAAAATTCCGACAACCAATAATTTTTAAAATCCTTTATATTACTTGAAAAATTATTAAAAAAAATAATATATGGTTTTAATTAAAGTTTGTTTTTATTAAACATTTATAATAATTGAGAATGTACAAGAATTTTTAACCACTATTCTAATAGGAATAATGTGGTTTATAGGATCGTTCGGCTGCCCCTCCCCCCTCCCCCCACCCTATGGGATTTAACATGGGATCCCACCTTAAGTCTATGGCTATACTTTAACATGGAGCTAATGTTATCCTATGGGTAATGTTAAGTCTATGGGATAAATTTTCAATGGGTTCCTATGGGATTCCAGCTTAAGTCTATGGCATAGGGATAACATGGGCAATGCTAAGTCTATGGCATAGGGATAACATGGGCAATGCTAAGTCTATGGCATAGGAATAACATGGGCAATGCTAAGTATATGGCATAGGGATAACATGAGTAATGCTAAGTCTATGGGCAATGCTAAGTCTATGGCATAGGAATAACATGGGGATAACATGTGTAATGGTATATCAATGAGACAATGGGATTATAAATGAATCTGCCATAATAAGTAGAACTAATTGTTGTCAAAAACATTTAAAATGCTCAAAATAATAATAGTGAGAGTATTCTAACAATAGTATTGAAAAATTTAAAATCTTTAATGCATTTCCCGAATAGTGGTTAACGTATAGCATCGCTGTGTGATCCTTGTTTGAACATTTGATCGCATGTTATGGAGTGAGTATTGAGTAAAGAAGGAATGGAGGAATGGGTGGGAATTGGACTTAAATAAGACGAGAAAAAGGAAATCTTTAGCTGAGTTTCTATTCAACGAAAATTCCCGAATAGTGGTTAACGTATAGCATCGCTGTGTGATCCTTGTTTGTAAATAACATACATGTTCAATTTTCAATGTTCAATAAAGATTCAATTTTAAGGACAATGAACTGGTTTATGTTCGTGATTTGCAATATTAAAGTAGAACATTTCTTGGACATATACATTGGTCATTAAATTTGGCTCTGCCTTAAGCCAATCATTTCTTGTATCATTGCAGTCAAATGTTATGCCCTCGACAAATAAACTATGTTTTCCACATGAAGTGAGAAATGGCCTAAATATACCCTCATCAATTATCGACCATAATTGATAATCCAAAAATCTATTATCAAACGCTATAAGTAGTCTAATATTTGCACCAGTATTACTAAGCGAGTTGTTGGCAAAGTTTTTGTTTTTGATAAATAGGTTTTCAGTCAAACGTAACTTCAGTTTAGGTGTATTTGTTGTAAATGTCAATATGTTTGCTTCAAGTCGATCAATGACAGTAAAGGATATCTCAAGGTAATTTAGCGATTTTAATGCATAAAACGCCCTTTCCCCAATTGTTTTAATAGTACTACCTGATAATGAAAGTGATCTTAGATGATCTAGACCACTAAACGCGGTAGAAGGTATAGTTTGCAAATTAACATTAGTTAAATGAACGATTTCTATTAATTTAAACTCAGCAATTATAGCGAATATATCAGAGCCTTCGGTAGAGTTGCCAGATTTGTGCTGCAATTGTGTGCAGTCTTGCAATATAAATTCAAGAAAGTTCTGACCGGCAAATGCGTGTCGGTCAATATTTGTTAGCCGCATATTTAGACGTATTGTAATATTGCTAAATTTCAAATCGCTAAACATGTACGCGGGTAATTCTTCAATGTTTGTTTGAGATATGCTGATTTCAGCCATGTTCTTTTGATCTGTTGGTACACTTTTGCTAAAATTGCTAAATAATTTTGATCCAAGTGTAGTGATTCCGTTTTCATAGCAGAGCCAGTGAGCTTGGTCATAAATGAGGTCGCATGTGCATGGCTGGATTTGTTCACTATATGAACAAGCGCCATTTGTATACCCAATTATGAGACAAATTACAAATGGTATAATAATAACCATATTGTAAATTATGCTTGTACTGTTTAAATGTGACATAAATTAAATATATTGTACTATTTAATTAAAATATTGTTTTATTACTTACGTTATGCTGTATTAGCGGCTTAATTAAGGCTTAACAAAATAATTATAGTTTATTTTATAATAGTTTGTAATCGTTAAACAGACTGCAAAAGTGCAAATATGTTATTTTATGCTAAAAAAATGTCGGAAATGTACATTTAATATACATGTACATAATGTAAATTATGTTCAATTTTAAATTGCAGTAATTTTATGCGACTAAATAGAAAATTTTTTGAGACAACTTTTTAATTTGGCTATTATGTAGAAATGTTGTAATATAAGTTGGACAAAGGTCCTTTCATTATTCAAGTATGTTTAAATATAAAACAATAGATGTTGGTTTAGATTTATTTATTTTTGAAGCAATAATTATTTTTTATAATATTAAATTAACAAATTTAAAATACACAATATTTTATACGTGTTTTTGGTGTTTTTGATACAATATTTGACCAAGGTGACTCTGTAAACTTTTGCATTACATGAATAATACAATAAATTATACAACTGTATTTATGCAAGTTTAGACAATTTCAACCATGATTACTCATGCTTTATACCTGCATCTATTGTGTCACAACAAACAAATATAATGGCTAAACCACAAAGTTCAATCGGAATATTTATAATTAAGTTAACATTAGTATAAAATTCTGCTACATACACTTACAATCAGGATCAATATAAATAATAAAAACTCAATATAAATAAAAAGTACAATTATCATATTTCAATTGTTATTAACCACGAAAATAGGGATACGATATGGTGGTGGTCAAATAGTATTTATGACCGATGGTGCTATTTGCATAAGGTTTAGATAGTATAGCCTGTTCACCCATTATAGCATGTGCCACATTATCATCCATGGCATCAACATTACACCCACCGGCCAGATATGAGACAAAGTTTGAGCACTGGGTGGCCACACCTTTCGGGTTGTTTGGGTTAATACTTGCGACGTAATAGTCATACGCCCGGAGGTGATTACAGGCCACAGCAGCGGATAGACCTAGATTAATTTTTAGTATATTTAATTAATTATTTTTATAAATATTAATTATAATATAATATTACCGTTATCAACCACCTCTGTGATCCTGTTAATATAGCAGCCAGGTTGATGTAGATTACCACCATTAGGGTAAAAATCAATGTGACCTGAGTTTTCAGTAATGCCCAGACCTATCAATGGGGCCGCATCGGTGTGTATGACGTCCACGAATTGAGCCTGGTGTTAATTTTAATTAGCCAATTATTTTTTGAAAATGTTTATAAGTAAAGTATTATATACAGTATGTAAATTAATCTTACATCTGATGGGCTCAGTTTATCATTTGAGGGTTTGCCTTTAAAACCAGGTCCTATATATAAGAAAATGTACATGATTGTTTTTACATGATTATATTAACACTGTTAGCTCAAACCAGCTGGGTCAAGACCAGTTATGCGACCAATCTGTCCATTAAAAGCTTTGCCCGTTAAACCCGCAATATGTGCGCCCAATGAATGGCCAACAATATGCACCTTGTTCAAATCTAATCCAGATTTACTCTAATGTAAAAATATTATAGATTAATGTATGTTATTTAACTATGTTGTATGAATAAATATCATTATATTACCTGTAACTCGGTAATTAATTTTGTAATAGCCTGTGCAACAGTAGGTATATTAGCTTTAGTCTAGATAAAATAATTTTTTAAGATTAGTTTTGTAATATTAAACACAAAAATAATTCTAATATAATAAGTATAAATGTCCTTATTTATTTTAAATAAAATACCTGATCATACGATAATAAACGGTTCCCTTGACTCCAGTCCACAATAAACACATTATAGTCGCCGGCATTTAACCACTCATTTTTAATGGATTCCAATGATAGGCCTAAACCCTGTGGCGCATCCCAGCCGTGCATAACGAACTTGGTGACCAGCGAGTTATTAAAATTGGCCCGGTTACCGGTACCATCGGGTTGAATGCTAGACTGCTCAAGCACTGGATTACGTCGGGTGTACAGATTGAACTTGGTGCTAAATTGTTGCGCACTTGGTGACCAAAATAAAAAAGCCTCTGTGCTCAATATACCAAATAGTGTTACTATAGATTACTTTAACAACATGGTTGTTTTGGTATTATAATTCTGTTATTGATTAAAATGTTTTTTAAAAATAAATATTTATCAAATGTTTATTAGCTTTTATACTAAATTTTTTATACTAAAGAGTTACGTCATTAATACAGATTTATTTTATCACGATAATTTATTTGACATTGTTCTTCCGTTTAAGCTTGAACATTTATTAATTAAATTTTTTTGGAAAAAAGGTTTTAGAAAATTTTACGTCATTTTATATTTATATATAATATTACATTATATAATTAACTATAGATATATAAATGTCGAAAAAATTATCTATCATATTTTATGTCTCATTGTCATTACCAAGATAATTTATAATATTAATCGATTATTATATTATTGATTTTTTTATCTTATAATCTTATTTTTACAAAAAGTTATGTAATAACAGTTTACTTGTGCAAGGTGATTAATATTTGACATTCAACAATCCGGTACATATGCTCTTTTTAATTAAATAAGCAAAGGTTAATTAAATAATTTTCATTATCATTATTTAATTTGTGGTTAACCTATAGCTTTGAGTGCAATCTTGTTTTATAATTAATGTTATTTTATATTTAATGATGATAATTACCGGTAGTTTAAAAATTATTGGAAACATTAAAATTAATCACTAAAAGAGCAAGTGTACCGGAATGTACAAGGTTTAAAAAAAATATTACCATGTTGAAATAAGCTGTTCCAATAAAACCAATGCGAAACATATATAAACCCAAAACATTTTGCAAAATTATTTACCACTGAATTGTTAAAATAAGTATTATAAGAAAGCTAAATAAAAATACTATCATGCTGATAAAGCTAGCTATAGTAACTGTATTTGGTATATTGGGCACCGATGCCTTTTTATTCTGGTCGCCTCGAGCCCAACAATTTAACACCAAGTTCAATCTGTACACCCGGCGTAACCCAGCAGCTGAGCAAACTAGCGTTCAGCCCAGGGATGACACCGATGAACTGACCAATTTCAATAATACCCTGATCACTAAGTTGTATGTCCACGGCTACGGTGTGGCGCCGGCTAATAGCCTGTCGTCGGACAGCATGAAGAATGAGTGGTTAAATGCCGGCGACTATAATGTGTTTATTGTTGACTGGAGTGAAGGCAATCATGCATTGTCTTACGAGCAGGTATGGTTGTTTGTTTTAAACAAGTTTATTATAATTATTATTTAATATAAATATATTATCGTAACGATATAAGACTAATCTCGACAAAATATGCATTTAGACAAAGGCAAACATACCTACCGTTGCGCAGGCCATTACCAAGTTAATTACTGAGTTACAGGTAAATTATTATATTTATGATACACTAACTAAATAAGTGAAATAGTTTATAATGTTTATTTCAATTTTGCATCAGAGTAAGTCCGGCTTAGATTTGGACAAGGTACATATTGTTGGACATTCATTGGGCGCACATATCTCTGGTCTGACCGGTAAAGCTTTCAATGGACAAATTGGTCGCATAACTGGTCTCGACCCAGCTGGTTTGTATTAACAATATCAAATTTTTTATTTCAAATTAATCTCGTATATTATATTTGAATATAAAGGACCTGGCTTTAATGGCAAACCTACGAGTGATAAACTTAGTCCATCAGATGTAAGAATAATTTAAGAACTTTTTTAAGTTCAATGCTCGCAATTAACTTAATTAAAATTTTATCAGGCTCAATTCGTGGATGCGATACACACCGATGCCGTCCCGTTGATAGGGTTGGGTATAAATGAAAACTCCGGGCACATTGACTTTTACCCAAATGGTGGTAATTTACACCAACCTGGCTGTTTTATAAATCGAGTCACCGAGGTGGTAGATAACGGTAAAATTAGAGATGGATTTACTAAAAAATATTGCATAATTAAATAATTACTAACTAATCTAGGTCTATTCACTGCTGTTGCCTGCAATCACTTCCGCTCAGTTGATCTGTTTGTGGCGAGTATTAACCCAAACAACCCGAAAGGTGTGGCCACTCAGTGCCCGAACTTTGTGTCATATCTGGCCGGTGGGTGTAATGTTGACACAATGGATAACAATGTGTCACATGCTATATTGGGTGAACAGGCTGTACTATCTAAACCTTATGAAAAGAGCACCATTGGTCATAAATACTACCTGACCACTACTCTGTCGTACCCGTTTTTTCGTGGTTAATTCCAAATGAATATAATAAAATCTACAATTTCTATAAAGAATTAAATATATTATAATGATTAAAATAAAATAAATATTTCAAGCATTTTAAATTGTTGCAATTATTTACACTTAATCTCAACTAATACTAACTATTCAATATTTAGCAATTTGGGGTTTTTACCAGCAACTCGGGTGACTAGAACGTCCTTTTATGGGTTTTGTCCTTTTTCGACCTATAGTAAATATTTACCGTGTACAGACAATTTAAATTATAATATATTAATAGATTTAAATGTGTTTAAAATATAAAAACTTAACATTATTACATAGCAGCATTTACTAAATCAATTTATAATTCTAATAATTTATTATATTTATTTGATCATAAAACACGTTTTGTTTTGAATATAATTTATTTCATATTAAATTAATTTAAAATAAAATCATTTATTTTAAACCTTTATTAAAATAGATGTTTATTATGTAACGAAGTGCAAATAGTGCAGCATTAATTAATCAAAGTTACAAGTTAATTAATTTTTAAAAACGACCAATTGTGGGAATCAACCAGGATCTAATTATTTAAAATTAATCACCAAGCAGAAAACAATCTGTTTGTGAAGCAACTTTAAAATCATATAAATTGGAAAAAGCATAATTAAAATTAATATTACAGACAAATTTAACTAAAAATTTAATACAACAATGTTATTAAAGTTAACTATACTAACAGTGTTTGTTGCCATAAACACTGAGGCATTTTTATTTAGATCACCTAGTGCCGAACAATATAGCACCAAGTTCAATCTGTACACCCGCCGCAATCCGCAACATGCGCAAGTAAGCTCACAACCCGAGGGCATAAATAAAAATTTATTTTATCACCATAATTTATTTGACATTGTTCTTCCGTTTAAACTTGAACATTTATTAATTAAATTTTCGTTGAAAAAAAGTTAAAATTTTACATTATTTTATATTTATATATTATATAATTAACAATAGATATATACCGATAAATGCCGAAAGAATTGTGTATAATATGTTATGTCTAATAATTAAACATGTCATTATCAATATAATTTATAGTATTAATAAATTAGTAAATTATTGATTGTTTATTTTATAATTACCTTGATATTATTCCTGAAAATCTTATAATTAAATAGAGTTCTGTAATACCAGTTCATTTTTGCAAGGTGATTGATATTTGACATAGAACAATCCGGTACACATGCTCTTTTATAACAATGAAAATATTAAAGGTAAGTATTTAATTAATTACAATTTGTTTTATTTGAAGGTAACTGTAATTAAACGTGTAATTCATTAAGTGTTATATCTGATTACTTGCCATACGCACGGCTTTATCACTAATACAAGTTTAAAGTAACATTTTATAAATTATTAATTAAATTTTTAATAAACCGGTTTCTTATTAATGTTTAAATAGAGACCACTTTTAATTTTTAAAATTATGGTCACAATAAACAATTAAAAATTTTAAAAATAAAATAACTTGAAAAGAAGGATAGCCGCCCCTAATGCATAGCTGGCCCCGCTGGCCTGGTCACCATTTAACATAATATGAATTATTTGCACTGAGAGGTCCTTAGATAAAACAAAAGACAAATCACATCAACAAATAACGTTTATAGCATAAATAACGTACAAAAAATGTAATGCATTTTTAATCTTTTAAATAACTTTTTTATCTGATATCCGAATTACAAAATTCCTTCAGATCCCTACTCCTCTCATCAAGACCTTTCCGTTAATATATAATATAACCCATATATCATTCAAATAAGTTTTTAATTAGAGTAAATTTTCCCGATAAAAGTGGTCACTACTCTCGAACCCGATGTCTTAGGGACATATTGACAACATTTTTAAAGACTTCTAACAATGGTCTATCGTTCCCATATTAAATGGTGACCAGGCGAGCGGGGCCAGCGTTAGCATTATGAGTGGCTATCCTTCTTAGATTTTAAGAGTGTTACATTTACGCATAATAAACATAACTTATTAGACACCAATTTGTGTTTGAACTTATAATAATAATTGTAAATAATTACAAAAATGTCAAATGCTTCAAATATTTATTTTATTTAACATATTATAGTATATTTAAATCTCAATAGATAGAATTAAATAAAGAGATTTTTATTACAGTCATCTAAATTAACCACGAAAAAACGGGTACGACAGGGTAGTGGTCAGGTAGTATTTATGACCAATGGTGCTCTTTTCATAAGGTTTAGAGAGTAAAGCCTGTTCACCCAATATAGCATGTGCCACATTATTATCCATGGCATCAACATTACACCCACCGGCCAGATATGACACAAAGTTTGAGCACTGAGTGGCCACACCTTTCGGGTTGTTTGGGTTAATACTGGCCACGAAAAGGTCAACTGAGCGGAAGTGATTGCAGGCAACAGCAGTGAATAGACCTAGATTGATCATTAATTAATTTAGTTATGGAATATTTTAAAAATAAAACCTTCTTTAATTCTACCGTTATCAACCACCTCGGTGACTCGATTTATAAAACAACCAGGTTGATGTAAATTACCACCATTTGGGTAAAAGTCAATGTGTCCGGAGTTTTCATTTATACCCAACCCTATCAATGGGACGGCATCTGTGTGTATAGCATCCACAAATTGAGCCTGACACAATTTTAATTAAGATAATTACAAACATTCAAATAAAAAAGTTCTTATATTATTCTCACATCTGAAGGACTAAGTTTATCACTTGTAGGTTTGCCATTAAAGCCAGGTCCTATATGTTTAAATAAAATAACCATAATTAATTTAAAATAAATATTTTTATATTGTTAATACAAACCAGCTGGGTCGAGACCAGATATGCGACCAATTCGTCCATTGAAAGCTTTACCCGTCAAACCAGCGATATGTGCGCCCAATGAATGTCCAACAATATGTACCTTGTCCAAATCTAAGCCGGACTTACTCTGATGGAAAAGTGAAATAATCATTATAAAACTATTTCACTCACTTCGTTAGTTAATGTAGCATAAATATAATAAATTACCTGTAACTCAGTGATTAACTTGGTAATGGCCTGCGCAACGGTAGGTATGTTTGCCTTTGTCTAAATGCATATTTTGTCAAGATTAGTTTTATATTGTTATAATAAATTTATACTATTTAATTTGTTCCTTTTAAATATTCATGATAATAAACTTATTTAAAACAACTAATCCAACCTGTTCATATGACAATACATGATTGCCTTCACTCCAGTCGACAATAAACACATTATAGTCGCCGGCATTCAACCACTCATTCTTCATGCTGTCCGACGACAGGCTATTAGCCGGCGCCACACCATAGCCGTGGACATACAACTTAGTGATCAGGGTATTATTGAAATTGGTCAGGTCACCGGTGCTGCCATCGCTGGGCTGGACGCTAGTTTGCTCAGCCGCTGGGTTACGCCGGGTGTACAGATTGAACTTGGTGTTAAATTGCTGGGCTCGAGGCGACCAGAATAAAAAGGCCTCGGTGCCCAATATAGCAAATACGGTTACTATAATTATTTTTATCAACATGATAGTATTTTTATTTAGCTTTCTTACAATACTTATTTTAACAATTCAATGGTAAATAATTTTGCAAAATGTTTTGGTTTATATATGTTTCGCATGGGTTTTATTGGAATAGCTTATTTCAACATGTTAATAGATTTTGTAACCTTGTACATTCCGGTACACTTGCTCTTTTAATAATTAATTTTGAAGTTTTCAAGAATTAAAAACTGATTAATATAATTTTATATAATATAACATTAATTATTAAACAAAATTTTACTAAACTAATGACAATTTTAAATTCATAGATGTAATTAGAAAAACAATGCAACGTATGCCAAATTCATCGGAATGTATTAAACAATATGACATAAAAAATTAATTAAATAATTTTCATTTTTATTATTTAATTTATAGTTAACCTATTCCGTTGAGTGCAATCTTGTTTTATAATTAATGATATTTTATATTAAATGATGATAATTAATTTATAAATTCTTGGAAACATTAAAATTTATTATTAAAAGAGCAAGTGTACCGGAATGTACAAAATCAAAAATCGATTACCCTGTAGAAATAAACTGTTCCGATAAAACCCGTAAAAAACTATATATATAAACCAAAACATTTTCTAGATATATTTATCGTTGAATAGTTAAAATAAATATTGTAAAAAGCTAAATAAAAATACTATCATGTTAATAAAAATAGCTATAGTAACAGTATTTGGTATATTGGGCACCGAGATCTTTTTTATTCTGAATGTCTCGAGCTTAACAATTTAACATCAAGTTCAATCTGTACACCCGGCGTAACTCAGCGTCTGAGCAAACTAGCGTCCAGCCCATGGATGGCACCGATGAACTGACCAATTTCAATAACTCGCTCACCACTAAGTTGTATGTCTACGGCTATGGTGTGGCGCCGGCTAATAGCCTGTCGTCGGACAGCATGAAGAATGAGTGGTTGAATGCCGGCGACTATAATGTGTTTATCGGTGACTGGAATGTAGGCAATCATGTATTGTTATACGAACAGGTTTGATTATTTATTTTATATAAGTCTATTATATGAATTTGCCTATTTACTATAAATATATTATAATTATAATGTAAAATCTATCCGAATAAAGAAGTAGTTTGTATACAATAGCTTGTCCTAATGATTAGAGTGACTTTAGTAAATCTATATACGTAAAACTAAACGATTATTATTAACGTAAAACGTTATATAGTATATATAAATCTATTATTATAACAATTGATTAAAGTTTAATTATATTAAATGGGATAAATGCATACGTGATGAGTAATTAAACATTTTTAGAATTTATAATTAATCATTTTATTATTATTTATACATGCAAATTTATAATAAATTTTTCATGTGCAATCGCAGCAATACGTGTTTTTTATGTGCCTGATAAAATTTATGTGTACTATTATATCAATATAATAGATATCAATAGTAAAACATTATTTTAGTTTACAAAGTATACAAAATAAAATTATAATAGTAAAAAACATAGGTTATGCTAAAAATCGCAACTACCTTCGCTCCAGCCCACAAGTACTACATTGTAATGATCCTAAACAATGCGTGATCAATTTTTGAAACACTACATTATAATTAAAGTGTATCAAAAATTCATCACGCACTTTTCGGGACCAATCGCAGTCAGAGTGATTGCTTTTGAACTTCATTTATAATAATTTTAGTGTGAAGTGAGTCATCGAAATTATAATTGTCAATATGAGCATGGTTGTTTGCGCTGGGTGGTAGCATGAAAATCAGTTTTTCAAATTAGTTATGGCGAGTGTAGAGTACAAATCGAACAGTAAATTGTTAAGACATCGTCTGAACTATCTTTGCATAGTTCATCAAATAGTATAACAATTACTATTTTTATAATCGAGATGTTTTTAAAATTTGTCTCGCATTTTATTAGGCCAGCCATTGTCAGAGTGTTTGCTCCAAAAGCTACCAACTCAAATTTCGATAACTCACGTATTATTAAAATTATTATCTAAGTTATCGAAATTTGAGTTGGTAATATCGACATTATTTTTAGCGCCAATTGGGTGTGTATAAACATGCTCGCTCAGTTTGTTATGGTGTTGATCAAATATTTTACATTGAGTTGTTTTATCAATGTTTGAAGCGTTTTAGCAAAGCTAAAAAATAGTACAATAGTCACTATTATTGAAAACATTATTAAATTTTTATCTCATTTACTAATAATTATATTTAAATACAGAATAGATATGTATTTTATAATTTAAAAAATGTTCTGCAAACGTTTAAATTTATATAGTTTAGTTACTCACATGAAATTATGTATATAACGGATTTGCATCATGCTGATTGATTATAATATAATACTTTGGTTAATTTTTGAACATAAGTTTTATAAACAAGCTTCGTGGAACATGAATGCAAAATTATTCATGATAAAAATCGCAACTACCTGCGCTCCAGTCCACAAGTACTACATTGCAATTGAGATGTTTTAAAAATTCGTCCCGCATTTTATTAGGCCAATTAATTCTTAGAATCTCCGAAAGCCATTTATAATAATTATAGTAATAAGTGAGTCATCGAAATTTGAGTTGGTTATATCGGCATTGTTTTTAGCGCCAGGTGGGTGTGTATAAACTTGCTTGGTCAGTTTGGAACGGCTGTTGGTAAGTAAAAATTTTACTGAAAAATGTTTGCCACTGTTGGAAGATCTTTTGCAAAGCTAAAAAAATAGTACAATAATTATTATTCTTGTAATCATTATTAAATTTTTATCGCATTCATTAATAATTATATTTAAATACACAAATGAAATTCATTTAATACAAAATGTTTTGCAAACTTTTAAATTTATATAGTTTTGTTACTCACATAAAATTACGTAGATAACGGATCTGCATCATGGTGATTAATTATAATACTTTGATTAATTTGTGAATATATGTTTTATAAAAAATTCATCGAACATGTAAGGTAAATTATTCATAAATATACTACACAATACAATATATAAAATTTAATTAACTGTATTGTATTACATAATATAAAATTAATGTAATTGTTAAGAAATGTGTTTAACTAAATATGTTTGCAAGATTTAAAATTTATAGTTTTGTTATTCAAAATAAAATTACACATTTGAACCATGATAATTAATTATAATACTTTGATTAATTTCTGAATATACATATTATATACTGAATATAATATATACAGTATATATAGTAACAAAGATTTGTAGAATTATTTTATGGGATTACCCTAAAGTTCCATGCTTTACCGTCCCTCCCGACCCAGCAGGTATGNTATTCGGATAGATTTTACATTATAATTATAATATATTTATAGTAAATAGGCAAATTCATATAATAGACTTATATAAAATAAATAATCAAACCTGTTCGTATAACAATACATGATTGCCTACATTGAGAAAAAGTCCAACATTTAGACAAAATGTTGACAATTATTTTAGTTTACATACCTGCTGGGTCAAAATGTGCAGCATACTTTAATAAGGTTTTTTAGTACCATTTTTACTAACAAATGAGATATAAATGTTGGTGTTTCAAAATGTTAAAACTAATATTAAAATAAATATCAAATTTGTCTTATTATGTAACAAAGTGCAAATAGTGCAGCATCAATTAATCAAAGCGTGCACTTACATGTTAATTAATTATTAAAAACGACCGTGTAGGAATAAACCAGGATCTAATCATTTAAAATTAATCACCAAACAGAAAACAATCTGTGTATGACGCAACTTTTAAAAAACATATAAATTTGAAAGTATTTACAACCATAATTAAAATTAATATTAAAAACAAACTTAACTAAAAATTTAAAACAACCATGTTATTAAAGTTAACTATACTAACCGTGTTTATTGCCATAAACACTGAGGCATTTCTATTTGGATCACCTAGTGCCGAACAATTTAGCACCAAGTTCAATCTGTTTACCCGTCGCAATCCGCAAAATGCGCAAGTAAGCTCGCAACCCGAGGGCACCGGTAGCCTGGCCAATTTCAACAACACCCTGGTCACCAAGTTCATTATACACGGTTATGGTGTGGCGCCGGCCGGTGCCATGTCATTGGAAACCATGAAGGACGAGTTTTTGAATGCCGGCGACTATAATGTGTTTATTGTCGACTGGAGTGCAGGCAATCATTTATTGTCATATGAGCAGGTATAATTATATTGGTTTGAATTGATATAATGATTATTTTTATTTAAATAGTATACTTTTTAATAATGATAAATATCAATTTATATTTAGACTAAAGCTAACATAAAGTCGACAGTACCACGAGCGATCATAAAGTTAATTTCCGAATTACAGGTAAATTAATAAATATATTTATTTTCTCATCTGGTTTAAAAAATATTAATATGCAACTAATTTGATTCCAACGTGATTAGAGTAAATCAGGGTTAGATCTAAACAAGGTTCACATTGTGGGCCATTCATTGGGCGCACACATCGCCGGTTTCACCGGCAAAGCTTTCAATAGCAAGATTGGGCGCATTACTGGTTTGGACCCAGCAAGTTTGTATTGACCACGCGCATTAAACATTTCAAAAATTAACCACGACCATTTGCTTTTTGTTTGCCATAGGTCTCGGTTTTGATGGTCAACCTTCAACAGATAAACTAGCACCATCAGATGTAAGAAACAAATTATTGTACATGTAGTCATTTTATTTAATATAAATTATTAACTATTTAATTAATTACATCGCACCAGGCTCAATTTGTCGATGCCATACACACTGATGCCGTACCGGTGATAGGGCTGGGTATACATGAAAACTCCGGGCACATTGACTTTTACCCCAATGGCGGAACCACACACCAACCTGGTTGCATTATCAACAGAGTCACCTCGGTTATTCAAAATGTACAAAACAGTATTCACAAAGTTTTTGTGATTGTAAATTTAGAGACAAAATATTAGCTAACATTTGTAAGTGCAAAACAAATAAGACAAAAATATATTTAATATAAAACACATACAACATATAATAATAACACGTACGCCAATTACTTATAATATATGCATAATAATATAATTGCTTGCAAAAGTAACCTTGATTATGCTTACGTGTTATGCTTATGTAGTTAATAATACATTAATAAAACTATGCTGAATATTTGCATTGGATTAGCTCATGTTTACCTCATTATTATTATTATTATTGATTTTAAATATATGAAGTTTAGGTTGTTTTAGATTTAATTGCTAATTTATTATAAACTTTTTATAAAGTAACTTTATTAATAATTATAATTAACAATTAAACATAAATGTTTGATAATTTTATATAAAAATTACAATTAATTGTGTACAATTTATTGTGTCGACTTCTTCCTTCCCAAATAAAATAAATTTGTTCAATACATTCTTATATAAGCAATGTTTTTGTACTAAAATACAGTTTCTATTATAGTGTCTATTATTTATTGTATAATATTAAAAATTCTTTTTAGCTAGTTTATTCTTAACAAAAATAATCGAATTTTACAAAAATACTGCAGAATATTCTATAGCCTAGTATTCAGTTTAGTATATAACCAATGATATAAGGGTTGGGTTTGCGAGATAATGATCAACGAAGAAGTGCATTGGTTATTTATTGTTAAAAATTATAACTGATTATGAGTTGAAATATATTTTTTGTTATTTGTAGATTAAGTGTTTTATAATGTCTAGTTTTTAAAAATAATATTATATTTTAATATATCTTAAAAACATATTATAATTGAAATTGTAAATTGAACCACGAATTGGGCTACTTCCAATATACTAATTTATTATTGAGCTTATTATAATGCATTATAAAATAATAAATTAAATTCAAGTTCATAGACATTTTATTAATACTTGGCTAGTTTTAATGTATTGTTATAAATGTAGTTTAACATTAGTTATAAATGTGATATTATTTGTCCAGCAACTTCCGATAGAAAAGATAGAAAAAATGCTTCCGGACCCGGACCCTTTAGTCGTTGCCTAGAATAACTGCAATAATCCAATAAACTAACCATGTTTTATGTACAATGATATAAACATCACTCTCATATTAAACTACAATTTCTTCCATGTTAATAATTATTATAAAATATCAAATTAGTTGATAAATAATTTATTGGTTTTGAATTAATAAATTTTTTTAAAAATATTAGGACTGATTATACGTAAAGAATATTTTTATGTTATTTATAGTTTAATTGCTTTATAATATTTAGTTGTTTATAAAAATATTTTATTCTAATACAGTATATATAAAAATATTATAACTAACAACAAAAATTAAACAACAGTACAACTTGTGATGATCCCAATATACTAATGTATTATTGAACTTATTATAATGCATTATAACATTATAATTTAAATTTCAGTTTATATGCATAATAGAAATACTTGGCTAGTTAAAACGTATTGCTATAAATGTAGTTAACACTAGTTTAAAATATGATATTATTATACCAGATTATTTTAAATTATTTATATGTTTAATTTCAATCATATTATTATTTATATTATTTCATAAGTTTGTAGTTTATCAATATAAAAATTATAAATATGTTTTTAGGCAGAACGATCCTATAAACCACATTATTTAATGCTGAATTGTGGTTAAAAATTCTATAAATTAACAATGCAAAAAACAAATGTCGACACAATTTATTTTAGAATACTAAAAAATTAACACATAATATCAAATCATTTTAACATAGAATATTTTCTGTCAATATGTTAATTTTTATCAAAATAAATTAGTTATTTAGTTTCAAAAAACGGATAGAAAGCGCCCGTGGTCAAATAATATTTTTTGCCAACAGTGATGCTCTCGTAAGGCTTGGCCAGTATTGCCTGTTCACCGAATATAACAGTGCCTCCATTAGCGCCGGCACTATCATCGCAATCACCGGACAGGTATGTACTGTAGTCCGAGCACTGGGTGGCCACACCCTTAGGGTTATTAGGGTTGATGCTAGCCGTGTAAAACTCCACTGACCTAAAGTGGTTGCACGCAAAACCGCCGTATAATCCTGGTATAATATGTAAGATTAGCATATATTTGATCATAATTATAAATGTGCTTGGTGTAATATACCGTTATCGATAAAGGAGCCCAATCGGTTGATAACGCAACCAGGTTGGTCGTGACCGCCGTTAGGGTAAAAGTCCACGTGACCTGAGTTTTCATTTATACCCAACCCTATCAATGGGAATGTGTCGGTGTGTATAGCATCCACAAATTGAGCCTGGTAAATAAATTATTTATTTATTTACATGTAAGTTATTATAAATTATTTGAATATTGGTTACGTTTGATGGATTGAGTTTGTCCTTGGTATCTTTACCGGCATAACCAGGACCTGGGTGATAAATCATGATGGATTATATAGATTTTTAACTTATTTTAATTGCTTTGAACACAAACCAGCTGGGTCAAAGCCAGTGATACGGCCTAACTGTCCATTAAATGCCTGCCCGGCGTATCCGGCGATGTGTGCGCCCAATGAGTGGCCCAATATATGCACATTTGCTACCGATAATCCAGAAGCACTCTTACCATGGTAATGTAAAATTTGATAATTAATTACATTGATAAATCTATAATTATTTTAAGTTATGTCACCTGTAAATCAGTAATTAATTTGGCGATCGCTTGCGCAACCGTATGTGTGTTTGCCATTGCCTAATGAACATTGTTAAAACAGATTGATTTAATTGATTACTATTGTTCACCTTGGTCATATTTATGTATGTGTGTATGTAGTTGTATTTCATTTAAAATTATAAGCATTTATTTATTTCGTAATTAGATTTATTGACTTGGCATCTGTTTAATGTAAAACTATCATAATTTCTCAACAAAATAATAAATGTAAAATTAAAATACATTTACATATACCATATTTTGTAAAATGTAAAATAAAATACAAGCACCTATTAATTAGTTTTACTTTTCTATAAATTGATCTTGATTTACACTAAAAAAATAAAATTAATCTCCGGTACTGTTTTAATCCAATAAAATAATTATCCTTAACATATTATTATACAATAATCAGTATTATATTAAATTACAATTTATAAAGCTTAAATAATTAATATAAATTTACAAATTAGTTTATTAATAATTTGTTATGTAAAACTAATTTAACACTCAAAAATGTTAATAAATGTTACTCTATTAAATTTATTAGCATAATCTATAGTTCGATATTAAACTAACCTATCACGCTCAATTTTATGATACAAAAATAAAATAAAATATAACTTAATACAAACGACTATAATAATTGTTTAGGCTTAATATTAAGTAAAGCAAATGCTAATAAAAAACTAACCTGGTCATACGACAAAAGTCCATTACCGGCACTCCAGTCGACAATAAACACATTACAGTCGCCGGCGTCCAAAAACGCGTCTTTCATTTTGCCCATCCATACGCTGGCAGATGTGGTGTCGACAAAGCCGTGGACAATGAACCTGGTCATCAGCGAGCCCTTGAAATTGGTCTTGGTGATAGCGGCCAGATTACCAGCGTCGCGCGATGTAAGCACCTGGGCAGTTTGTTTGTTATTACGCGTGTATAGATTGAACTTGGTGGTAAATTGAGCCGGTTTGGGTGGCCCAAATAGGCCAAACAGTTGGCACGAGCCTAGAGTAATAAACGCGGCTAAGATAGCACCTGGGCAGTTTGTTTGTTATTACGCGTGTATAGATTGAACTTGGTGGTAAATTGAGCCGGTTTGGGTGGCCCAAATAGGCCAAACAGTTGGCACGAGCCTAGAGTAATAAACGCGGCTAAGAATAATAGTTTTATCATCTTGGTTGGTTTAATTTTATTAACTTTATAGTAAGTTTTCTAAGTTGGTTACTTTATATACAGTTATTTTATAAACTTATTACGTGATTATGTTATATAATGTGCAAATGTTTAAGCATAAATAACAGATTTTCTGCACTAGGTAATTAATTTTGTGGTTTTTATTTTTTAAACATGGTCATAACAATAATTCAGTTTTGTACATTGTTGTACCCTGTGCGTGTTTTTAAATAGTTTTGCAGATGTTGTTATTCTTAATAGATTAGATTTAAATATATAATAAATAACAAGTATTTACATTATAGTAATTTTAAAAATAAATTCATTATAATGTTAATTCAATTAATAATTTTAAAATAAATATGTATTAATAATAAATTATATTTATTATTGTAAAAACATAATCACATAATGTATTTGAATAAAATAACTTGATATTTATAAATACAGTACACATGATTTATGAAATAATTGATACATTGACCATGAAAGTTAAGTAATAATTAAAACTGAATCTAACACCTTTTATACTTTTGATATTTCGATTAATTAATTATTGTATCTGCAATAATAATGTACATACTATACAATTGGGGTAAATGAATATGCTAAAAGATTACACTTACTTTGACATGTTAGTACATACATTAGTTAATAATAATTTTGACTAAAAATATTTACCATGCTCATAACATTTATATTTATTTATTTTGATTATATCAATATTAATAAATTATAATTTTATAACATGTGTTTACGTATTTAATCAAGAAAATAGGGGTAGGCTATGCCAGTGCTCAGGTAGTATTTGCGACCAATAGTACTTTTCTCATACGGTTTAGACAGTACGGCCTGTTCACCCATTATAGCTTGTGCCACGTTATTATCTATGCCATCAACATTGCAACTTTCGGAAAGGTATGAGATATAGTCGGAGCACTGGGTGGCCACAGCTTTAGGGTTTTTCGGGTTTATACTGGCTATGAAAAAGTCAACTGAGCGGAAATGATTGCATGCCACGGCAGAAAATAGACCTAGGTAGTAATTTGTAAAATATTTTAATAATTAAGTTTGATATTTTTATTGTTGATAATGATACTACCATTTTGAATAACCGAGGTGACTCTGTTGATAATGCAACCAGGTTGGTGTGTGGTTCCGCCATTGGGGTAAAAGTCAATGTGCCCGGAGTTTTCATGTATACCCAGCCCTATCACCGGTACGGCATC